AATAATAATGAAGTCGAAGATTCAAATCAATCTGTACAATTTAGAAATATTCAATTACAAAATGTAATGCATATAAATGTTTTTTTCATAAAAAAATGCTCGGGTATTATTGTTCTTTCTAAATCACTTTTATAGTCTTACACGAAATTCTAACAATTCTAGTGTAAAAATGACTGATCATTCAATAGTTTTATTGATCTTTTTTCATTTTCATCAAAATACTTGATAGTGTTTCCGTTATTAGTAAATTTTCATAAGACGAATAAAATTGAAAAAGAATCCTAAGATTTAAAAATTAAGCAGACTTACTGTCTTTCTTTCAAATCAATATCGAAATGATGACTGCATACAACAAGCAGAATTATTGTGCATTTATACTATTTTATATATGAATAAGACCATTTTTATAAGTTGTCTCATTATCCGTATTCATACATATCATTTGATGCATGTATGAATGCACCAAGAGGGTAAATACTGGGCGATTCTTACTTTTAATTAATAATAAAAATATGCCCTAAGATGATCACAAGAAAAAGAAAATAATGCCCCATTGAATATTGACTAATTTTCTATGAGGTCTTATAAATAAAATATGATTCATTTTGATACATGCAGGGACTTTTCACATTAAAGATTACTGGCTCAAACAGAAACATGCAGTATTTTATTCTTAATGAATTTTGTTTGTCTTTTATAGTTATCAAAATACTTGAATAGGATCAACGTCTAACAAAATCGAGCTTACTTCCATATGTATGAGATACAACAATTCAAAAGGAATACATTTTCAGAATAACGAAAAGATAGGAGTGAATGAACGTAATATTAATATCTCACTACATATTTATTCTAGTTCGTAACAAATTTTCATCGATCTACGATGAGAGGAAATCTACTAAAGCCTGAGTTTTTTAAAAAGCTACTCAATGAGATTGGTTAGTATGGTTACTAATATCTACGCAATGAAAGCAGTACCTAATCAATTTTTACAAATTCTTGTATATGAAGAGGACATAGAATACCATTAGCTTCAAACAAACCCATTTGCATGATCCATGTGAGTTTAGCCTCTCTGTATATTCATAAGGATGTCATCATTTCTCTACAGAAAAAGAAGAACAGAGCTTGAGGGTGGGTTTAGAATAAAATCCACGTATTATCGACACCCACACTCCATCGTGTAGCAGACATCCACTAAAAGGGTAGAAGGAGTAATGTCTGCCAAAACTGAACACAATTAGACATGGAGAGAAGAAATCTAGCGAAATCAGTCATTAGCAAACATTTTGAGTCTTATTCTGAATATTTTCCTTATTTTCTTCATAAAGACTTCACCTTTGAAAAAAACGTTATTATGGCATGTTGTGTTATATTAGTTCGATTTATCAACTAAATAAATCGCAGCTACTGGAGCTGTAAAGAATTTTACTGATGAGTGTGAGTCTCGGGTATGGCGATCGATATGAATAAAGTGACTTGTACACCCACACCTACACCCTCAATATCAAACATATCAGTATCATGTTATGCCTAAATAACTTAGTGCATTGAAAAGTTCCATCGACATGTCAAATATGAAAATGATATTTTATTGTAATGAAAATCACATTCTACAACACTTAATTAAAAACGAACATAGGATGTTTCATTGACTTTGGACACGCCAAACACCCAATGTTTCCAAGGTGATGTCCAAGAGTCGAAGCGATAAGTGAAAATATTTCGACCATTTACTTTTATTGCGACATGCTCAATAAGCCAATCATTAATATTTACGTAGCCACGTTTTCCTGGACGTGATGGGTAGCTCAAGGCGAACATACGGATATCTGCATTGCTATCTAAGAATCCTTTCGGACAACAAATGGTGTATCTATCCATGCTATTGCGCTCACGGTCATTGCCCCAATTATCCAAATCATATGCTTTACAAACCAGACCGTTGCCGCTACGAACAAGAAGATTAATACTATAATCCGTACCAGCTAACGGTTCATCTCCAGTTTTAATCTCCACTTCCAATCTGTCCGAATGAATTGGACATGAGTTACGGGAACGTGTGTCACTTGCAACATGAACGAACACCATTGAAATTAAATATAATAGAAATACCAAGAAGAAAAATTGTTGTGCCATGATTTATTTTCTATGTCAACACTGGTTCTAGACGGAGAAAAGAAAACATACATAGATATAGCACATAAGAGAACTGGATTATCATAGATTCACTCGAAAAGAGACATAGTTGTCCTAATCAGATAGCTTCGCTATGTTTTTCATAGTCTTAAAACATCGCTAAACAGAAGTCAATAAGTAGTATTCGATTCTCTCATGCAACATTTGCAATTCTATATATGATGTTGTTATATCTAACAAAAAAGCATTTGTAGAGTTCTTCAGAGTTCGCGTTCACTTCAAAGAGTAAACTTTCGTAAAGACTATGTTAAGAAGTTTCTGATATTAACACCATGTGCGCAGAGTATTTTTAGAACATTGCTGCACAAAAGAAGAGCATTGATTTTTGAAAGTTCATATTAGCTTCACCTCCTTTCACAAATGTTGCAGTCTAGATGTTTCATTCTCGTAAAAATTGAAGATGTATGTTATCAATTTTCATTGTTAAATGTCATCTACAATCATAAGTTAGAATAATAATGAAGTCGAAGATTCAAATCAATCTGTACAATTTAGAAATATTCAATTACAAAATGTAATGCATATAAATGTTTTTTTCATAAAAAAATGCTCGGGTATTATTGTTTTTTCTAAATCATTTATGAGTCAGTTCACGTAAGCCACGACCGATTTTGTTCAATCAGAGATCCCAAATTTTTGGTTGTACCCTGCAATAGCCCTCGGCCTCGTAGTGCTTGACAAAAAAGTTTGAATGCCA